CTTAGGGACTAACTCCATACCCCTTGTCCCTATTAGGTAACTTCTCCTTTGGATTTCAGCCTCTTGGGAAAATATTCCTTCATCCACTTAGATTAGGTCAGATTTATCTGCTATGAACCCGCAAGGCACTCAGTACTTTTATTTCTTAATGCATTATTTTGTGTTTGTATTTATATATTCCTTATTATATAAATTAATATCTGTGTCTCTGACTAGGCTGTTGTCCTCAAGGAAGAAACAGTACTGTTCACTGTTTTATTCCTAGCATCTAGCAAAGTGCCTACCCATTAGCAGATACTTAATAAACAAATCTGTGGTAAATTGTTTAATTATACACCTTGTGGTACAACTTATTTGATTGGAATGTTTTGAGTGTAGTTAATTTCAATTGTGAATAGATAAATATTTGAAATATGTCAGTGTTATCAGTTTATACAAAGATATTGGTTATGGCTTCACTATTCAATCTGTGGTAGCATCAGCTGAGAGCTATTAGATTTCAGAATCTCAGGCCTCTCTCCACACCTACTGTGTCAGAATCAGAAATTTGTAAGATTTCCTGGGTGCTTCCTTTGCACTGCAATTTGTTGTAAATCCAGGATTAAAAACTCTAATGCTTTGTTTAGCCAGGCAGATCTTCAAAATGAGTGAAACAAGCCAGATGTGTATGTATAAGCATGATAATAGGCGACCTCTGGCCTTTGGCCTCCTCATAATAAGAATGGTGGGGATGTGTTGACACGAAGACCTTTAGCTTCATCTAAAACGCGCAGGCTGCTATCTAGACCTAGATGATAGCAAGCCTAGTGTTGCAAGACCTTGAACAGTTCAAGAGAAACCAGAAATACAAATGCACACATGGAATCTGTGGACTTAAACACTGACAACTAAACAGCTAAATACAGTTTTTTCTAAAGCAAAATAATTATGAAGATCACACAGAACTCACTTGTGTAATAGTTCTAGGTCTCTAGTTTGCAAAGTCTCATACAAGTGAAGATATCTTTAGCAATGCAGTAAACCCCTTCTAATTCTTTACTAATTCAGAACCCTTTAATTTTGCAAGTTAGAAAATCCTCTTTCTTTGTTCTAACCATTTACTCATTCTTCCTTTCATTAATTTATTCATTTAATACTGTTTTAATATCTACTCTGTGCTGGGTGGGCACAGTGCCTGGTCCAGAAAACCTAAAGATGAATAACACATGATCCTTGACTTCCAATGACTTAAGGTTTCTTAATGACAACATCATACTTACAAAACAGTTCTATATATACTTATTGCTACAATAATTTGTCCTGTCTACTTTTGAGAGGTATTCTTAAGAAGGTAATACTCTACCTTGAGTATTTCACAAATCTAAGTGGAGAGAGAAAAGTAAAGATACAGATTACTGAAAACTCATGTCGTTAAAAAGGTTTACAAGAGGATATATTTGAACAAAAAACCAATCCCAAAGAATTGAAATCTGAATGGAATGTATAGCACCCTTGGTGATTTTTAAATGTTATAACTTTCTGAAACACATTTTCAGCTCTATAATTTATGGCGGTCCAAACCTACTTCATAATCACAGAAGAGAGAACTGTTTCATAAAAACTAGAGCTTTAAATCCCATTTCTTATGCATGTTAAAAACTTAATTAACTGATATCACCACACTTTATTTTTTTTTCTAGCTGTTGGGTTCTCATTTTTCTGGTTGGTTTGAGGGGATTTTATCTCTTTTTCTTTGTTAGATAAGTTCATAAAATCTCTGGAGAAGCAACGGCATTTATAAGAAAGCCTCACACTGATAACAAACACTTCACAAGGCTTTATATTAGTTTGGTGGCAGCTGTGATCAAGGGTGTAATAAAAATCAACTGAACCTTTCATTCAAACACCACCTGTTGATTATCCAAAAGTGGTGAGTGTGCAAAGGTCTGGTTAATCTGTTATAGGATATCTAGGACTGGATTTTCCATCCAGGATAATAGCATGTTTTGTCTCCTCTCACCTGAGCTTTCAATTTCATTCATCCTTCTATGATGAATAATGCTCTGATGATAAAATTAATGAGTTTTTAGTTATTTTTTTTATTTGCGGCAAAATAATAATATGTTTTTCAGAACACTGACCACCAAGTAAACAGGGCTGGATGACTCTCTGTCCTTCAGTGTTCACCTGTTCTCTGGAGAGCAAGCCATTCACCTATGCAGAGGTTATTTTAATGTTTTAGTTTCATTGTTTACATTCTGATTGTAGCAGGATTTTCATGCTATGTTTTATTGCCCTCTCTTGACATCGGTGGTCCTCATGCATTACAAAATCTCTATTTGGCAGAGATTTCAGCATTCAACATTATTTCTCTCCTATGTTTCCCAATGTTTCATCCCTAATCCAGAAAAAATAAATGTGTCTACCTGCTGCTTCTTCATTCATCCTAGAGAGTAGGAGGGCTAGAATCACCCAGAAAAATTTGAGTTTATTCTGTTCTCTGACGCAATATTTTTATTTAAATGTTCTCCTTCCTTCTTTCCCTCTCTCTCTCTCATGGATTACTTCTGCCCCCCCCCGCCCCATCCATAGTTTGCACATTAGCCACAGTGACTTTTTGGAAATGAAAATCTGATCACATATGCTCCTTTCTTGCTTAAAGGACTTCAAAGACTTCTCACTGCCCAAGAGAATAAAGCTCAGACTCCTCATCTGATGTACAAGTTCCAGTTTACTGTATCACCTGCATCGCCTTTCATAGCTACACAAGCCACCACTGAACTGCTTCTGGCCTCTGAATAGGACACTCTTGACTTTAGTATGTGGCTTTTCCCTTTGTTAAATGACACACCCCACTCACTTCCTCTCTCTGCCTGTCTTCCCCTCTCCCTTCTCGCACGTATCTTCCCAGGGGCATATGACAACCTCGCACATGCTTGGAGAGCAGTCTCTGGGAACTGTCATCCCAGATTTCAATTATGGCTCCTCTCTTTGCTAGTTTTTTACCTTGCATAAATTATTTTACCTCTTGGTGCTTTAGTTTTCTCATATGTAAAATAGGGTAATATCAGTGCTCACCTTGCCAGGTTGTTGTGAAAACTAAATGAACAAATACTTGTAAAGGATTATTATGTGAGTACATAGTAAATTACTGTCACTAAATACATAAACCTTTATAAGATATTAATATCACATTTTCAGCCAGCTTAAGGATAATAAAAAGGCAAACCTACTGTGATAATAGACCATAAATAGAAGAAAGCATTCCAAAGCCAAGTATAAATGATTTGGAGATTACTAATTAATAAGGCTCTAATTACTAATTACTAATTAATAAGTAATTTTTGTTCTCCTTCATTGGTTAAGATAATCAACACATGGTTTTTGAAATTCAAGATTAAAATGAAATGGATTTAAATTAATTAATACCTATATTGGAAAGAATGAATGGAATGTAAAAATCAATATCACATAATGACTCAATTGTTTTTCCAGTTTCATTTGAATATTTTATTTGGGTATTATCAACATTTAAAATTTTCAGGATAATTCTTTTTTTCTGTCTTAGGAGATTAGGAGAGTGGAAACTTGACATTGTAGAAACTCTGATGATTCATATAAATACTGTACCACTTAGCCTAGGTATATTAAAGACTGCTGTCTCCAGGACCAATTACTTGGGTTCGAAGCTTGAAGTGGTACATAGGGTCTGATTCTAAGCCATGCTTAGAATCTCAGGAGACAGGAGAAAGTAGATGCTTTCAGCTGCTCTCTGGAATGCTATTTAGATCTGATGCCTAGTTGGCCTTAGGGCCAGATCACACTTCTATTTAAAGCAATGGTCTTGGGAAACTAGGAGTCCTGATGCTATGATACCCAGAAGGTTTTATGGGTGGGAACAGAGTGTAAGGGTTAGGATTTAGTGAGACTGTAACTTTAAGTAAAAGCAGACTCCATTCTGGAAAGTCTGCTGGAACAGAGGGAAGCCTGAGGAAATGTCAGACAGGGACCTCTGTGGTCTCCCAAACAGCCAGAAATTGAAGTCCTCCTGGGGCCAATGCTAAATTGCTGGCTTCCTCTAAATTGCTCTGGAGAATTAGGTGCTAGTCACTGTTTATTGATTTATTGCCCAAAGCAGGACCCTGTTGAGAGTGAAAGCATTCCAATCATTTCCATAGCCCTGCTTTGCCCAGAGCAATAGCAAAAATAAGGAATGTTTCTAGCAAACTGGGTCTTGTGGTTACCCTTAAGTCGGAGTGAAGAGAGATAGTGAATACCAAAAAGGGGTAAACAGGTTTCATTCCAAATAATTGCTCTCCCCCTCTCTTTGTGTGTGTCTCTCAGTCTGTCTGTCTTCTGTCTTAATAGGCTTAAGTGTATGTGTAGTGCTCAGAAGACCCATGTAATAATAAAAATTCTCTCATAAGAAAGAAACCTCCCGTCTGTTAAACTGTCACTATGTTGTAAATTACATTATAATAACATTATGTGGTGGGATTGCAATGCTTGTGAGGTCCCTGTCTATTGAGATTATTAATATTTACAATAATGCACAATATTTTACATTCCTAGTATTTTCTATCTATAGAATCATCTACATTTACTGTAGGTCATGATTAGCTTTTGCTTTGCAGCTTTTCAATTAGAGGCCTATGTGTGAGGACTGAAACATAAATTTAACTTCATTTCCTATCTGTGAAATCTATCAGTGTGTTTTGACAATTCATTTGTTCAATAAATAATTAATGACAGTCTATGCTTTATACTAAGCACCACTAGAGTTTGTGTGACACAAAAATGAATAAGACATGGTCTTATGCTCAAAGTACTCACCATCTACCAAAATATCTTCCTTTGGTTTTTAATGTCAATCGAATGTTAATGTTTACACTGGGTAGAATCTACTATTACCTGCAATAATATACATATGTCATTGTCTAACTGTCTATTTAAATGAAATTTAAACATTTATTTCTCCTCACTTCTACTCCTGATCACATCCTGGCATCTTTTCTGTGAAGCTGAGTCATCCAATGGTGGCTATTCCTGAACATGAAACTCTTGATTCCAAAGAGGTAAATGTGAGATACAATTGGTGATCTAGTTATCTATTTTCATATAATGTTTGGTTGTAGAAATAAACCAATCCTATCTTTAAAAATGTTAACAAAATCATGATTTTTTCTTTTAAAGAATTGTGACTAAGTGGTTCACTCTGCATTGCTCAGAAGCATATGATAGTTAAAAAAGTAAATTTTTGCTTCTCTCAGTGTGGAAGCTGGTACTAGAAAGTGGTACGTGTGTGTAACACCTTGACCACAAACCAACTCCTTCTATCCTGAGTGTCCGTCTTCGTGATTTTCTTTTTGGGTTCATATGTGAAACCACTGTTGCCTTCTTTCTCTAGAGGATTGATGGATGTCCCATAACACATAGGGTGTGTTTTGGGGATCAGAGGTCCCAGTATCTCATGGTACCTCAGTTTAAGTTCACAGGAGGATGTCTGCTTTGCTCACTGAACCTACACCAAGTGAATTTTGTATGTGACATGTAGCATATGGGCAAACTCATACCAGCTCAACTGTAGCCTCTATGTTTCCTGCAAATGTGTTTATCTATTTTCATGTTTTGAGCTGACAAAAACAAATTTTAAAAAAACCTTATTTTTTCTAAATGCTATGCCATGAAGACAACAAAAATTCTGCAAAGAAATATTCTCTCTGTGGTTTAATTGTGTGTTCATAAAGAGCAAGAATAATTGAACTATGTTTTCTTCTTCTACATCTCCTCCCATAAAGTGGAAAATGTGAGGAAAAAAGTGTTTTTTAAAGAACTTGTCTTTAAGAAGGGAGTGGATGAGCTCACACATTAATTTTAGTTACTCTCACAAATGAAGTATGCTTAAGTATGCCACGTTCAAGTTAAGAAAAACAAGCATGATACAAAAGAGAAGTAGGAATTATTATTGAATTATTTTGAATTTTATTAAATTCAAAATGAAAACTGAATTTTCTTTTCCAAGGCATATTTTTAACAATTTAGGACATATTATCCACTTTTTATAAACTGACATCCTTATTTCTGCAAATCTTAAAACCTCTATTATACAAGATCAATGTGGCTTTCTGCTATAACATTAGTCATTAAATTATAAAAGTGTGTTATGAATAGGTGTGCATGTATATCCTTGACCACATCTCTAATTTTTTTAGATAATATACTAAAAACAGGATTATTGGTTCTTTGAGTATGGACGTATGGGAGAATTTTGACATATATATAGTCAAATCATATATAAAGTCCTGAAAAACTATAGCAATTCATCCTATCAGGAGTGTGTTATGATATCTTGCTCCATGCACTCTTGGCAACATTGGGAATTATTATAGTTCCAATAAATTGAGAGCTTACTGTTTGTTAGAAACAGTGTTATGAACATTATCTTACTTAATCTTTACAAAATGTTCTAAGTTAAGTACTATTATTATTCCCATTTCACAAGTGAGAAAACTGAGGCTGAGGGAAATCAGTCTGTTGCCTAAAGTCAAATAGCTGGGAAGTGTCTGCACAATCAAGAATTGAATCCAGATCTGACTACCTGAAGCCTGTGCTCTTAAGAACTCTAGTATATTCTATCCAGTATCCAAATTTATCTAAATTAAGATCTTTGATTAGAATAAAAATCTTTAACTAAATTCTCTATCTTTATCTAAATTTCTATCTATGCCATCTCCCTTTTAAATTATATTTTAAAATACTTGTCATTTTTATATTAATTTGCCTATTCTTTCTGTTAATTTTTTTCTTTATTTTTATCTATTTTGTTTTTGTATTATGTTATACATTTATCTACTGGTATGGTAATTTTTATTGAATAGTAAACTCCCTTTATATATTAAGGATATTAACTCTTTCTCAAATGTGTTAGCCCTTTCAGTGTGATAATAGTGAAAAAATTTTACAAAGATACATGCCCCAAAATAGAGGAGCAGTTAAATAAATCCTTCAAATTTCAGGTGAATATAAAAAAATAACAATCAAATATTGTCTCTCTTCCAAACACAATAATTTTGGTTCAAGTTCACAGAGGCTATATCTACACAATAAGAGTGTTTCAATATAATAAGAGAAAATCGGTTGGTTATTTAAATAACAAATGCATCGAGCTAGATAATAAGTGCTGAATTGAGAACTTCTGAATGTTAGGTAATGTGAAAGACTGTGTTGACAAAGAGAAAAGAGTATATGTAGTATTTGCATTTTTTTAACAACAATTATCACAATCCTGGATACAAAACTTAAAATTAGGCTAGTGGATAAGTTTGCCAAAAAATAATTTTGACTCATATTTGGAATATATGAAAAGTATCATTAAAGAAACTACAGTTTAACATTTGTGAGAGACAGTAACTGTTAGTATTAAAAGGAATTTAAATAATTAAGCAAAAGGCCGATTTAAAATTCCAATGTTGTACTTTACTTCTTAATAATATTGGCACATTTTGAAGCAATTTAACAGCTTTTTACAACTCATTAAGATATGTGGTCGGGCTGTAATATTGACCCATATATTTCCCATAAATCCTTTGTTATTTATTTACCTATAAAATGTCAACCAAGAAAAATATTTTTGTAAAGCAATTCTGATCTTATGACTATATGGCCTGAAGGACTAAATCATTCCAATGTTAAACCCAGTGCAAATAAAGAATTATGGAAGAGCCCTTAATTGGATCCCAGAACTTCTGCTGTGGTTTTTCTTTCTTTTCCTAAAAATAGTAGTCTGTCTTGCTTGCTACCAGACTTTCATTCCTTGAATCCAATCATTCTATTTATAGATACCATTTTTTAAAATTAACTTACTAATTCATTAAAATATAAACAGATCTCAGATTTATCTGATTTGACACCCACACTATATTTATAACTCACATGATTTCTAAAGTTCATTGAAAAGGAACTGCCTCAAAAGAACAATTCTGCTTATCTAGCTCAGTAATTCTCAACTCTAGCTAAACATTAGGATCAGTTGGGATGTCTTTTAAAAAGCACCAGTGGCAGGACTCCCCTTTAGGCGAATTAAATTAAGAATCTCTGGAACTGGGCAGAAGCATTGGTATGTTTTAAAATCTCACCAGTCGATTTGAATGTGCGCCAAGAGTGGAGATCTTCAAATTATATTTCTTCATTGGCAATCTGGGAAAGCCAATCAAATCAGATATTCAATCTTGAAAACAAAAAATGGAAAGTAAAAGCAGAATTATCACAAAAATTTTTGTTTCAATGAATGCATTCACAATTGCTAAAAATTTGAGTTACATATTCTTGTCCAATGGCATAAAGGAATATCAAGTGCTTTAAGTTGTAGTATGTTAATTTTGAGAGATCTGTTCTTTGTTGAGATTCACTGTAATAATCTCACTAAAATGTAATATTATATTTTTGTTTCCCTTGATTCCACACGAAGTTTGGGAACTGCTTAGGTTGGGGCTGGTATAGCATTTGGTATAAGCTGAGTCTGGGGATTTAGTGTATTTCAAACAGTGGTTTTCTTTTCTTTACTTTTTATTGTAACACAGTTGATTGTACATATCTGTCTGGTACAGACTTAAATATCAATACCTGTGGGCGATATATGATGCTCAAATCAGGATAATTAGTATATCAAGATTATACAATATAATATTTTTTTGTGTCCCTTTACCAGTTCTTGCCTTACCTCCCTCCCCTTCCCCTTTCCCATCTCTGGAAACCTCAGTTCTATCTCTCCTTTCAAAAGTTCAAGGTATTACTGTGATTGTTGTATCTTTCTTTCTTTTTTATTCATTCATTTATTTTTTTAGCTCCCACTTATGAGTGAGGATGTGCATTTTTTCTCTTTCTGTGCCTAGCTTATTTCACTTAACACGATTTTCTCTAAGGTTATCCATGTTGCTGTGAATAGCAGTATTTCATTCTTTTGTATGGTAGAGTACTATTCCATTGTGTATATATGCCACCTTTTCTTTATCCAATCATCTGACAATGGGCATTTTGATTAGTTTCAACTCTTGGCTATTGTAAATAGAGCTATGATAAACATGGGGCTTCAGATGTCCCTTTGACATGATGGTTTCCATTCCTTTGGGTATATACCCGATAGCTGAGGAACTGCTGGATCATATGTCAGTTCTATCTGCAGTTGTTTGAGGAACCTCCATGCCATTTTTCATAATGGCTGCACCAATTTACAGCCCCACCAACAGTGTAGGAGATTTCTCTTTACTCTGCATCTTCACAAGCATTTGTTATTCTGTCTTTTGGATAACAGCCAGTTTAGTTGGACTGAGATGCTATCTCAATGTGGTTTGATTTGCATTTACCTAAGGATTACTTATGGTGAGCATTTTTTCACGAACCTATTGGCCATTCGTGTATCTTCCTTTGAGAAATGCCTACTTAACTCTTTTGCCCATTTTTAAATTGGGTTATTTGTTTTTTTAATGTTAACTTGTTTGAGTTCCATGTAGATTCTGGATATTAATCCTTTGTCAGATACATAGTTTGCAAATATTTCCTCCCATTCTGTAGGTTGTCTTTTTGCTCTGCTAATAGTTTCTTTTGCTGTGCAGAAGCTGTTTAGTTTGTTATATTTCCTTCTGTTGCTTGTGCTTTTGGGGTTATATTCATAAAATCTTTGCCCAGTCCTACTTCCTGAAGTGTTTCTCCTATGTTTTCTTTTAGGAATTTTATAGTTTCAGGTCTTATATTTAAGTCATTAATCCACTTTTAGTTGATTTTGGGACATGGTGAGAGGTAAGAGTCTAGTTTCATTCTTCTATAGATGGTTACCCAGTTTTCCCAGCACCATTTATTGAAGAGGCTGTCCTTTTCCCAATTTATGTTCTTGGTGTGCTTGTTGAAGATCAGTTGGCTGTAAGTCTAAGGGCTGGTGTCTGGGTTCTCTATTCTGTTCCATTGGTCCAAGTGTCTGTTTGTATGCTAGTACCATGTTGTTTGGGTTACAATAGCTTTGTAGTATAATTTGAAGTCAGGTAGTGTTATACCTCTGGCTTTAGCTTTTTTGCTTGGGATT